TTTAAGCCTGCTGATTCAACAAGACACTTTTCTACTTTATCTCAGACTGAATGGGCAAAGTTTGGATGAATATTTACAGATCCTTTGGTAACATTACCTTTCACAGTCAGGTTTACACTGGCCTCGGCTGTCAGTCCCGGGACGTCTGGAACGGCTCCAATACACACGTACTCTCCAGCTTTATCATATGTAGCACTTTCAATGGATAGGATGCCATCTTGAGAGAGCACAGTGGATCCCTGAGGAACAGAGAAACGCTGTAATTAAACTAGCTGGCCTGCAACTATGATCCTTTTCATTTTTCTATTCTGCTTTCTCTGTTAAAATCTAGATCAGAGCAGCACACAAAACATTGAGTTGGAAGGCTTGGTGGTGTGCTGGGAAAGCAGGGGAGGAATCTTCACACACTCTTTGACAGTGTAGTGATAACGGATCATCCTCAGTGATAAACCTTTCATTTGAAATTCTTCTCCTCTTCTTCTCATAGGAAACCTTCTAATTTAGAACAATGTATTCCCAACACAGGTTCTATGACACTTCAGAAGACAAAACAAGAGATAACACAACTGAAACAACAGACATACTTCTGCAGGAGCATTTCACACAACAACAAGGAACATTCCAGGGGCAAAAAGAATGTAGTATTTTGGCACAGCAAATAAAATTAATTGTTGGTATTTAAAACTGAATATAAAAAAAAACAAAATGTTAGAAAGAAGTAATATTTTGAACGCAATGTGTTTCTATTGTTTTCTGGATAAAAATATATAACATATGAAAACAGTAAACTGAGATCTTAGGATGATTTATCCAATGTATATATATTCAGGTATTCAATATGCAACAGCTACTGTAAAAATAAAAAAAAATAAAATAGATTTTTATAATTTTTCAGTCTTCTGAAAAACATCTGACTCTTTGACTATTCAAGTTCTAAAAACAGTGACATAAAAAATATTTTGTACTTCCTTCATCAAAAAATAAAAGTCATTCAATTTACCTTTTTCCATTGAACAGTGTGAGCTTCAGATGCCTTGGTCTTACACTGCCACTCCTTCTTCTCTCCCAACATGACGACTTGATTCCCAGCGGGAGTCACACTTATCGGCTCAAGGTCTGAAGAAAAGAAAACAGACAGTCCCTGAGCAACATGGATGGAGACACATGGAAGCCTCAGACTTACTATAGAAGAGGTAAGGAGAAATCTGAAAATCAAACAGCCACTCATCCATTTAACAGCCATGTAATAAGACTTCAGGAATCCCAGTACATAACTGAATATTGAATCTTACGCTCACTCTGAATTCAAATCTAAAACCTAAGTTTAGACTTTGTCAAGGTTATCAATGCTTAATGGGTTTGATAAGATCAAATTAGACACTATGGTCTGGACAGCATTAAAGAAGCAGATGAACTGTGAAAAAGTGGAGCAGTTATTTGCCCCCTGAATGGATTCCATTAGAATTAATTTCATGCTAACCTTTTTATTTCAGAATTTAAGACTTAGATAAAAAAATAATAATAATAATAATAAAACAAAGGATTTATTGTGAACGTGAAATTCCATAAACAGTCAGTTATTCATACTGCATTTTATGGGTGTCTGTGTGCATGTTTGTAGCCATGTTTATGTTACCCTGTGGGGACAATTTTTCAGAAATATGCTACATATTTAGGGCTTAAAGGTACTTGTACCAGCAACTGGTCCCCATGAGGAAAAGTTCTCTCCTTGGGGTGGGGGTCCGGTTGAGGATTAATGTGAGCAATTAGTTTAGGTTAGATTTAAGCCCGGGTGACACTGGTTGCATGCAACTTTTAATCTTCGATATGATAGGGTATCAGATCCTGATCTAAGCTCATTCCTCCCTCCCACCCCCCTTTTGAATCCGTACCCCTCAGATTGAAACAATGTCCGACATTTGACTGGATGAGATAATTTACAAAAAAAAAGGAAGACTAGCCAGTGCAACTACAAATCAAAGCCGCAATTCATCACCAGCCTGCCCAGCATTCTCTTAAACAAGAACAGGAGGACTTTGATACATACAAACTATAATGGGAATTAGGTTTAAAGAAAAAGCACACAAAAAAAATAACTGTGGCATGGTTCAGGTCCAGGGTGAGGGAGTGAAAGTTCACAGAGCAACATGTAGAGTTTGTTGAAGTCTTTTTATTTTGCTCCTATTATGGTTAAAGTACTCTGTTTTTTTGTTTTGTTTATTTTTTTCATGTTTTATTGATAGTTTAAGCCCAAGCCTGCCTCGCGTGCTGTACACCCTGACTGCTATCCTTCGCAATCGAAAGATCTTATTTTTTAATTTTCCATCAAAGCGGATGTGTTTTACTTTGTAATGTTCCATTCTATGCTATGCAAGACCCTTGCAAAAAATTGTGTCATGTGTGATCAGTCTCCATGAGCGCTAATTGCCATGACCTCGGTAATCGAAGGCAAAATCATGTTTGGTGTGTTCAGAGCTTAAGGGTTAGGTATGTGTTGGTAATGGTTAGTAATAAATGCAATATTGGGGGAGTGCTGGCTTAGTGGTTAGAGCAGAGCTCTCTGAGAAGGTTTGCAAGTACCTGGTTCAATAACCACAGCCAGCACTCTGGTTTGCTGAGCAAAACTCTTAACCCCCGATTGCTCCCCGGGTGTCACACAATGGTAGCCTACTGCTCCCCAAGAGAATGGGTTAAAATGCAGAGAGTAGATTTCTCCATTGTGGCACATATAAGGATTTACATTTCATTTACATTTACAATATGAACAGAAGTGAATGGAAAGTCACAATAATGATAGTGTGACACAACATGTGTGGGTTCTTGTATCTGATAAATTTTGGGGCCCATTTTTTGGAATAAGCGCATCTGTGGGACCTGATGCCTGGACCCCACAAAACAAATTGTTCTTTTAGGGTCAGGGAACACTTTTAGGACTAAGGTGTGAATTGAGTTTAGGTTGTGGTGATGAACCCATGCTGGTTAGGTTAGGGTAAGGGTAGGCTGTAGAAATATGTTAGAAATGAAGGGAACTCAATAAAAAGGCCCTGCAAGAGATAGAGAGGTATTGGGTGTTTGACCTACAACTGAGGGCAGGTTAGGTATTGTTAGGGAATGGGTGTGTGCCTGTTTCTTACTTACAGTTGACAACGAGGTCCATTTCAGCTTCTAGGTCTAAGTCCAACTGATCAAAGTCTGTAGCTTTGCACATGTATTTACCAGAATCAGTACGTTTGACAGATTTCAGTGTCAGAAGACCATTGTTACCGATGATTTTTCCCTGTAAATGGAATAAGACATGTGAATGCTTGCTGATAAAAAATGCCAAACATCACATTAGGTTTGTAGGTAAAACATTATGTCACTTACATCTTTAGAAATCTCTATTAACGGCTGTGGGTTTCCATCGGTCTCGCATTTTATAGTGACATCATCCCCCTCTTTCACCTTTGTAGCATTTAAAAGACCAATCATTGTTTTTTCAGAAGGATCTAGAAGAGGAGGAGCAAATGTGGAAGAGGTAAAAAATTATGCTGTAGTAGTTAAATCTGCACTGTTATGCTATACCTAACAGGAGGAATGCATTCAAGATTTCATATTTGTTCAGTTTTTTCTGTGTCTTTAGGTTCTGATTCATGTGCAATATTTTAGGTAAACCTGTAAAGCTACATTTCGAAAAAAACACACATTAATATTCTGTAATCACCCAACCGTTTTGATCTCACTCACAGTGAAGTTCAATTTTCATGGGGTCGGAGGTCATCTGGAGGTTCTTGTTCTGTGATCCAGCCAAGCTGTATTCCACAGTACAATGAAACTTAGAGTCCTTGTCAGCCTTTGTGGGCTTCATATACAGGATGCTCTTTATGGTGTACAGACCCGAAGCCTCTTTCACCGTAGAGGGAACCATGTAGGTGTCTATCAGAGGACACAACAACATATTATTAAATGAATAGAAAACTGTTTAAAAAGCAGTAACAAGCCCTATTATAACTAGGAAACATACTCTCGGATGAATTCTTGACCTCGGGGAGAGGCTTATCGTCTTTGAACCAGATGATCCTTGGAGCAGGGAATCCATTCATTGTGTTGCAGGTGCCGATCTGGTTCAAGTGGAAAAAACAGAAAGCACAAATAATTTATGATAAAACTAAAATAGGAATGCACTAGAACTGACCTAAAACATTAACTACTGATTAGATTTTGTAGTTTTTTAGCTTGTCCAACTATGACTGATGAGAGACTGTTTGAAATGTGAAAATCTGATCTTTTTCCAATAAGAAAGGGCCCCACGCTCAAGGGATGGTATTTAAACAGATCGAAAGCATAGCTTGAGGATGCACAGAAGCTGTAAAAGGCCATTCAAACATACTGAGTTTTGTCTGATCTTTATTCTAAAACCTATTACAAAGAGCTAGACTTTGAAGCTTTACTACATATTTATCACCACAAGCCTTTTCCTACACTTATAAATCTATTTTGTGCTGCAATTTTAAAACTCTTTCAGATAACCTTAAAATTGTTTGATAACATAGCCTACAGGTCTGTTAGTTCCACAATTCATAAAGAAAAGCTCACTTAGACTCTTTAGTAATGTATAAGTCATTAAGTCTAATTTAAATGTTGTTTGACTGATTTTGAGGCATCTGGACTCACATAGATAATACTAATTTTTACATTTACGCCACTCTGTGATTTGTCATAAATGTTCAGTGACCTATACTGAACAATTCCTAACTTCTTTTAAATTAATTTGCATTCAATGGATTTGATTTTAGTATATGCACAAGATGTGGCAAACACAACAAAAATAATGTTAAATAAGGAAGAGCAACCATTGTCCAGACTCAGCTTTATTTTTACTCATACCTTCCCAGACTTTTTAGAAGACTAAGGAAGCCTATCTAACAGGCTATCCTTTTCTATCCTTTTTTTCTTCAAGACTGCTATGAAATTAACCATAAAAGCTCATTAACAGTATCACTTGGAAAACTAGCCCTTTGTCTTCTTCTTGATGAATTCTCTGTCTATGGGTGTGTGTGTGTGTCAGTGACCTAAGCCCAAGCATAATCTAGTGGAGCCTTCTTTGCCCTCAATTAAAAGCTGCCATAAGGCAACTAAAGCCATAAAATCTGGGCAGTGTGGAAATGCCTAAAGTAAAATGTTAAAAATAGTCTGAAAGATAAAACACAGTTTTCTATTAGTATCTGTTAGCTCGCCAAGTCTAGATAAAATTACATTTGGGTCCAAAACCAGACTGATCTGTCAGTGGAAAAAGCTCCTGTGGTTAAGGAAAACTAGTCATATTTATTCACCTCATTGATAATGAGGTCAAGACTCTTCAAAATGTGCTCTCGTGTGTCTTTTTTTGTCTATGGAATTAGTAAAAAACTGTTTACATCCTGACATCACTCAGGTCAACGATATAAATGTTCAACAGGTCAAAGTTTTATTAAATAAAAAAACAGGATAACATAAAAGGTGCATCTCCAAATCAAACAAGCAACACATTAAAGAAATACAAACCTCTGAGCTACTGCCTTGATTCACTGAGATGGCCTGAGAAGAGGGTTTTTTGATTTCTGGCTTCTGGGGAGTAACTGCTCAGGGGGAAAAAATATTAAGCATTAAGCAATGCGACTGTAAGCAAATACACTCACTGACTTTTCACATTTTGCAATTCAAGACAATGCCCTAATCACATCTTGTAGTAAATAACTTCCTTAGTGACCTGCTTCATATGACAGACAACGGTTAAAGTTTTAAAGAGTCACATTTTCTACTCCATGTTTCATATAAACATTCACATTTAGCCACAGGTGTGTTCCCTTTTGTTTCTCTGCCTTATTCCCAAGCTCAGTTGTTCAAAATCATCTTATCTTCTCCTGCAGCTGCCAACTGGGCATGAAAATAAACAGTAAATGGGTGTTTCTTCCCTTTTTTCAATGTTTCACTGAGAGCTACGATTCCAATCGGTTCTTTGTCCTTCGCACCTTAACCTAACCCAGTGTTTTGTTGTGGTGTTTTAGAGACTAAGACCTCCAGAGGGAGCTTGTCTTCTTTAGCTCCATGGTGAAGGGCCTCTATTCTCTTAAGTGTTCTCCAAACAAAGTGGCAGTCCAAATGAAAGGAAAACTGGGAGTTGTTTTTCTGTTGTATGCAGTTTCAGATTTCCTCTAGAACTGTTTATAAGCTGGACAATAAGAGTGGGACTTGTCTCATCATCTTTGCCCTGCTACATATAAACTAACAGTTCTAGAAATATTGAGGGGCTTCAATTCTGTTTCATGGTTGTTATGATATCTTGTAAATTAACACCATTTAGTAAGAGAAGGAAAAAAAATATATTTAATCTGCAGAGAGGAACAGTGAAATACATTAAAGTTTAAAACTACCAACTTAAAATATGTTTTTTTTTTTTAAATGATCAACCTCTACTCAAAAGCTTACTTCAAGCTGAACCAATTTTCTATTTATCTAATTGTATTAACTTGTTGTTGAAGCAGCATTTGCATAACATTTTCTTTATTTTAGCTAAATTAAAACTTTGCAAAAGTATCAGAATGTTTACCAGTAAAAAACCCTGAAACTGAAGGCAGAAAAAAAATCGAAGCAGATTGAACATATCCGACATATTTGGATCATTACCAAATTTGGCATGAGTGACACCTCTGCTGAAAAGTAAGTTTTCTATTCAACCTGCTACAAACCAACAATATTCCATTGTCTTGCATTTTTTTTATTTTATTCAATAGAATACCTCCTGAACTTTTGAGTCTGATGTTGAGGCTGTCAATAGTCACTGCTGCCACCCTCTGTTTTAGTGAGGAACTTAAAAAAAACATTGTTGGCATGTCATTGCACAGACCCAATGTTTGTTACGAGAGGGACGTATTAGCGAGAGTCTTTTAAGATGGATTTGTTGTGAGAGTGAAAACTCAGATCTTGGGACAATAGAGCTTGCAGCACAAGGTTCATGACACCTACCTTAATCTAATTTCTTGCAGGGATAAATATAACTAACTAGGACAGGTCTGCATTCAAGTTTTACTGCTAACTTCAGCCTGGGTTTTGCTACATACAAAGTTCATATTACTACACTTGCCTTTCGCTGGTTGATAGTGCTTCTTCAGCAGCCCGAGTAAAGAGTTTTCAATTTGAGTGATCAAATTTGACATGAAGGGTCTGCGGTTTCATGGGCTTCCGTTTTTCAACAGAATGCATGGAATAGATCTAGAGCCAGTTTGACTGACATGAGAGTGCACAGAGCAGGCACTAGTGTCGAGATTTGATCTGACTTTGGATCAGATCAAACAAAGCACGGCAAAATATGAATAAATAAACATCAACTCCGCATTTAGATTTAAATTAAAAAATCCTGGGTTGGAGCAATATTACACTCCCATGATCTCATATCCAATGCCAAACTGAAAAACTGTGGTTGAAAATGACATAACTACTTATTCTGATAGTATGCATAGAGAGAATTCATTACAATTTCCCTTTATTAAAAAGCTGCATGACAGCATGCTTTTTTTGTTAGTAGAATGAAAATCTCTCCTGCAAGTAAAAACTGAGAGTCTGATACAAGATGCAAGTATCATGAGAAGTGAAAGAAAACACCAGCGTGGACCAGGGTCAGCCATCTGGATGATGGTGATGCGTTTTGACTTGTATTAGGAAGCGATATATGAGACCTGACAAGTATGATTGAACTATTTATCAATTATGCCTGCAGTCACAAATTGTGGTTAATTGACCTCTGAGGAACATGTCAAAGGATTCTGGTAGCCTTAGGGATCAGAGAAACCTAAAGACTCTTTAATACATAAAAAAAAAAAAATGTGTTTATATTTTTGTTCTTGAAAGCTGCAGACTATTGCAACAAATATCATTCTATTGCATTTAAGAGAATTAAGTGTTTTGTTAATGCATACATTTGTGATATCAACTCAACAAGCATTCAATGTGACTGAGCTTATTTATACAGAAAAATATTCAAAAATATTCAATGAGATGACAGATAACATTCTTGAAGCCTTTTTGAAAGTGACACAAACATCTCAAGGGATAAATTCATTTTGACATGAAAGACAAATTGTGTGTGTTTCTGATGTGCAAAATATAGGAGATCAAAGAGCAATGGTCTACGTACCAAACACTTCAAGCCTAGTGGCATTTTCATTAGCTTCCTTTCCAGCATTGACTTCGCAGTAGTAGGTAAGCTGGTCAGAGATTTTTACAGACTTGATGGTCAAGGTAAGGTCCCCAGAAAAACTGGCTCGTTTCGAAATGGGAGTATCAGGATCAATCGATTCCGCTCCAAGCTTTGTACGATAAGCCACTCGTGTTCTTTGTCCATCTTTCTCCTAAATTAAAAATTTGGAGAATTTTTGATAATGTGTTTTTCTCTTTAGAATCCTCAACTGAAGATCATTATATGATTTAATGGAAAATCTACTTACCATGAACCACTGAACAATAACATCGTTTAAGTTTGTACCAGAAAAGCGACAGGGCAGTTTGGCTGTTTCCCCTCCATTCACCTCCACCTTGGGGTTTACTTCAACATTTATAACTCCACTGCAAACTGGAAAAAAACAAACAAAAAAAGATTTAAAAACTGCCCCCACATACATAAAGATATAAAGCTCAAAATAACACATGTAATAACTCAATACACTCAGTAAAATACATCATACAGATCAGTTTCACACAATTTGATACTCTTTTTTTGTGTTTAAGATAAGGGTTTTCCACTAAGCCCATGAAAACAACACATTCATGAATACAATATTGTATCAGACTAATAGTGAAATAAATAGTCATTGTCAGAGCATCATTCAGTTTTATCAAAATCATACTATTTGGAAAGTTGAGTTAAATTTCACTAACCACTGACAGAACACCTAGCTTTTTATTGCTTGTACATCATATTCAAAGATTTATTTAAAACAGAACCCGTTTGACAACATAAAGTAAAGATAGATTCTCAAATAGCAACCAATCATACCGTGATTTAATGATCTTCAAAAAAAACAAAAAAAACAAAAAAGGCATGGACATCTATCAGTTAGGATACAGTCACAATGCCATTCCTAAGCCTTTAGGAAATGAAAAACACTGAGAGCTATTATCTACAGAGGACCACGAGAGCTATTATCTACAAATAGAGAAAACATGGAAAAGAACATTCACACTGTTAAGGTACCCCGGGAGAAGAGATGTAACCCTTGGGAGTAGTGTGTTCCCATTTCAACTGACATTAGGATGCACGCAGTGTCCTAGATTTCTATGCAAGACTCTGCAGCTGACGAACAGAATGGGCCTTAGCAAGTTTCTCCAGGGAAAGAAAACACTATAGCTTTCTAAACTTCTGGTATATACACCTATAGAACTAACCTATTCTCCAAACAGACAAATGAGAAACAGGTTAACATGTTATTATGGAGATCTGCAGGAAGAAATTAGGATATATTCCCGCAAACACAATTCATGAGTTTGCAAGTATTTTGAAAGGCTGGCTTAAAGCTGAAGGAAACTGATAGCATTTTTAAAGTTTGATGTTAAATCAAGCTATATTTCAGTAGTTTTTCGGAAGTAAATCCTGTTTAATTAATTCCAGCCAAATAGCTTATCTGAAATACTGCAAAAACACCCATATAAAAAAAAACAAGAAAATATCAGTTAATGTTTAAACTGCAGGCACAGCTAATAAAATAGATAGACCATATATTCTGTATGATCACATAAATTAATCATGGCATCAATTTCTAGACTACAAAATCCACTTCTGAATAATTTATTGGTTGTGAAAATCTGCCAAGAGTGGAGAGAATATAGACTTTTGGGAACCGTAGCTGTTTGACAGGGTAGTTTTATTAAGAAGGGAGAGAAATGGAGATGAGGAAGATGAAAGAGAGTTTTCAGAAAATGACAACAGAGAGATGATAGGAGCTGAGTGGTGGATGTCTTGTTATCAGTCTGAGAGAATGGGATGGAAGACTCAGGGTGTAAAAACAAATGGGAGGAGATAATAGGGTGTGGTGTCCATAGTCAACTCTATTTTAACTGAGCTTATTACAAAGACACATCCCAGTTTAGTTAAAGGCTGCAATTCACAAACAACAAAGCTGGTCAGATCAGTGATATGTTGACATTTGAAGAAATGATCCCATGTCTTACTGCAACATTTCAATCTCTAACTAACTTAGCTTGATTATTTTAATTACTTCCCTAGTCTATACTTTTAATCCAGATTCCCTATTTTTTCACTCTTAAAAAATTATTCCTTCTAAAGTCTTCTGTGATACTAATGGACTATGTTTGGGAAGGGGAAAAGATGCTAAAAATATTCTTTCTTTTTACGCCAAAACAAACAGCTGGCCATCCAACTAAACGAACAGGAATGTTTGAGTAAATGAAGCCCAGAGCTTTGCAAAATCCCTAAGGGTTTAAGTGTCCCTCTGAGTGCTACATGGGAAAAATACACATTGTCACATACACAACATTAAAACAATTGACTTTCTGGCACACAGACAAAAAGTTTAACTCTTTACTTGGTGAGATAATTGGGCTTATGGCTTTCTTTGCTCTGGGTTTCACCTAAAGAGAGAAACTCTTTATTCAAAATTAACAACTTTAACTTTTGTTTTTAAAGCAGTTTTCATGTTGTATTTTATTTGCTGAAACTTGTCCTACATGGAATGACAATTTTACATTTGATCCTACCTCAGTCTATACAAAAACAGAAAATATCTAGCTATATATTTTAAAATGTTCTCCTTTAATTAATGCACAAGGTGGACATACAAGTTCAAATTGTACAGTTGCATTTGTAATAGTCAAGTATACTTTCTGTATAGCTCTGGTGTATTTTCTCTTCAGCATTAGCTAATGTAAAAAAAAATAATGAAATAAAACAACAGAAAAAGAAAAGTGCACATGGCAGAAGACAATATTGCTACCTAGTGTATTTTAATCGCAAACAGTCTAGAAGAGACAGTTGGACAAAATATAAAAATTAGTAGAAGGGCTGCCCATAGAAGTGCAATATAACACCTGCTGACCTACAACTGACTGTAAAAAAAAAACTATCTGATTGGGCCTTAGAGCTTAGAACTCTTTTGTCTCAACAGCCTGGACCTGAAAGACAAAAAAAAAATCTTTAGGTGGGATAAAATCAGCAGGAATCGGCTAATTTTATTACACGATTAGTCCTGATGGTTGAATGACCTGTATGTAAAAAGTCCCCATCTTTATTTCTTTATAGTTCAAATCTTTATTTTTTCACCGGCTTCTATTGGTCACACAAACAACACTCCACTACTATATGTGCACGTTGTTATTGAGTATTGAGTTATAGCAGGCCGTTTTCAGTTAGGAAAATGAGGCAGGAAGGATTTAAGAAGTTATTTAAAGGGGAAGACTATCCTATACATTTTCCATTTATATATATTACTCCTCCCGTCTGCAAGAAAGTTAGAGAGAGCAGGACTTTCAGCATGGACAAGGAAGGATAAATCAAGTACATCAAAGTCACTTTATTTCATTTTATTAAATAAACTCTGTCTATCAAGATTTATGAGGTTTTACAAATGTAGGCAAAATTTGTGATATTCATGGTAAGTATGAACTTTTTGTAAAATATAAAAACGCTGTGATTTTAGTAAGCTAGATGTGATAGCTGTGATAGCTAAATCTAAAGTCTTTTTTTTAGCAAGATGTTGCCTCTGCTTCAAATGTAAATATTTAAAGGGCTGTCAAAGCAGGAAGGGTGGCAAAAATCTTTTGAACACTGTTGGTATATCTTCCTACATTAGAGGATTTAAAGAAGTTAGGGTTATTCTAAAATTCACAGGGGCAGGTCAAAAATTTGATAACATTTTTATTGCTGTATCACTACCTAAACATGTACTGAGAAATCAAAGAAATTGGATTGAACTGCATTTTTAAATAAAGTTACAAATTTCTAAATAAATAAAAAATTCTAATTTACACACAGTGAGAAAATAACAAACACGCCTTAATAAGCATTTGTACAAACCATAGTGACTAAAAGACTGGATACTGCTCAACCATGCCAGCAAAAGACATTTTCTTTTATCCCTCCCTGGTACTTAAGCCATCACAGAGAACTTAGACTGGGACACTTTGTTCTGACGTTTTTGTGCTTTAGGCTTTACTGCTTCCACATGAGCAGAATGAATTGAAAGTATCTTAAATAAATAAAGGACTAGCAGAAAAATCGAAAGAATTGATGCAATAAGGGGAAATAAGACTCCTCCGATAACAATAACTCACAGAGAAAAAAAGGTAGATGCAGTATTTTCCAAAGCAAAGGTAAAGCTGCTTTACAGATTATAATAGATTATTTTGATAAAATTTGTATTGCGTCATCTGACAGTTCATTTGTAGCCATGCAGTTCACAATAAGCAAGCTGTTCCATTTCAACTGTGGAGGAAAAATAGTAACATCTTTGTCTCATTCTTGCATCACACATTATTTACATGTTTTAAATACAGGTGCAAATAGCAAAACAACAAATCCTTTACTCTCACTTTCAGAACTATTAAAACCATTATTTTTTTATTTTTCTGAGTAATGGTGTAAAGCTGTTAAGAAAGAAGAAATTAAGTGTTAGACTGTTTGCATAATTCACAGGGAAAAAAACTCCACTAATGATTAGGTTGTTCTGACGTTTGGTAGGAGGGAATAATAAGGCATGAAAATATAAATCAACAGAGTCCATCTGCACCACATCCTGCTTCTTTTGCCAAAATCGCTGCTCATTGATTTTATTTCCTGTTTCCCCCTTGCTTTTTTTCTCCCTGTCGGGTGCATCTTTTGGTGTCATTCTCAATATGTTGAGTCCAGAGTGATCAATCAGGCCGCCGCTCTCTGTTTTATGCACACAGGGCAGCTGGACAGACAGAGACGGGCAATTAAAGAATAATTAGGGAATCCTCCATCCAATCCGAGCCTGAAGCAGCATGTGGCTGTGTGTTCCAGTATTTGTGTATTTACAGAAACAGGCTGATGACTCAGTTTGTGTGTGACTGAGAGAGAAAGAAATGAGAAGCAGTGGGGGTTAGTGGAGGGTACAGAGGGGTGGGTGAGCGAGGGGCCTCGTTAGCTGATGCAGACCTTATAATCGGATTTTGCCAAAGAGAGGGAAAGTGTGTGTGAGGTGTGTTTGACCGGCTAGAGAGACAGATGGGAACAAGATGGTCAGACTGTGACCTGTACACACCCAAATCAAATGTAAACATACACATACACAGTCTTACAGTACATCTATAATGCATGGGATATTTATGAGCGTCCTAAGCCCTCTAAAAAAGCTCTTGCTAAGTACAATGTGTGTGGAAAAGCATCCAAAGTCTGCAGCAGGAGCAGAGTGGAGACCCAGAGGGTTGTGTCAGTCCCACATCTACTGAAAAGTTAATGTGAAACCAACTTTAAAACCCTCCTGTCTGCCTCGTCTCTCTGCTGCCTTGCTGTCTTTTTTTCGTCTCTCACACACACACACACACACACACACACTCACCCCCACACACACAGAAGAGGGTGCCTCTCATTATGAACAG